AACATTATTCTGTTTCAATGCAGCATGTGGTTCTCGGTGTGAGACTTGAACCATGGCTGCTATTCACATGCTATGTCTGTGACTAAACATTTCTAGTCTAGTTTGATCCATTCAGTTTTGGAAGGAAAGCTGATATGAAAAGGGGGTTGGAGGTCACGGCACTGCAGGAGCGGTACGTGCTGGGAGCCGGCTAACAAGCTCCCGCCTGCACTTCCCCGCTCTGATGCAGAGGCAGCAGCGCAAGGGGCATGTGGTCAGTTCCTCATGTGTACCATATCAGAAGCGGCAGTGCGGTGGGGGGCACGCAGCTCCTGCCTACTCCCCCACACCACGTGCTGCTGCCTCTGATATGGTACATGGCAGTAGTGGAGGGAGGTCTTGCATGTAATCATTTGAACTTGTACAGTAGCACACACCTATTACTAACCCCATCCTGGTAATTTGCTGAGGGCTGGGGATGATCTTTGTGCTCTGGACATAGCTCTGATATTTGAATGTGCATCCTCTGCTGAACAGAGACCACTGTGTCACATTTAGTCGGTTGTCTCTTGAATTGAGCTACAGCCCTAGAGAACAAAAACAGATTATTTCCATCACCTGGATTGGTCCCCATGCTCCTGCAGAGATTGGCAACAGACTCCTGTTAGGGTGGGAACAGGTGTAGCGCTAAGGGTGTTTTTCTGTCTTTTTGGACTCTCTGCTTTTAATGCACTGTCACCTAGGAATTCACTCTGAGATGGTGGCAAAGGTGTGGGGGAGGACATAGCAGAGAATACTGCTACACTTGAGAACAGTGGTGGGCAACCCACAGGCTGCATGCAGCCCATTGGGGTTCCACCTGTGGCCTGTTCATGCCCTGTCTCCCTCCCTTCCCCACATGTCTCTTGCGCACTGGGAAACTGGAGCCCTGTGCTTCCTACTCCTCTCCCTCCTAGCACTTTTGGAGTGCCACAGATCTGCTGATTCATGCTCCCTTTTTGGATGTGAAGGTGATTATTTTGCAAAGATAGCAGAGATTAAAGGGCCAACTTAAAGGGTTGATCTGTGGGCTTTGGAAGAAGGGTTAAGTAAAAGTTGCGGGGGGTGGGGTGGGGGTGAGCTGTACTCCAGCTCAGAGGGGTACAGAACTGTCACACCCGAACAGATCAATTGTTAAAATAGTTTAGTATCCCATCTCTGCCAGTTGCTAATGCTGAACGCTTCAGAAGATGTAAAACTCCCACAGCGCATTTGCTTGTGTATTTGGTTTAGTCACTGTTTATTGAACCTCACTAAAATGGCACCTCACGTACTATCTTGTCCTGCCCTATAACCTAGGGGCAGATTTGTAAAGGAATAAATGGAAATTGGCTACCTAACTGTCCCTTGTCTTTTAAAATGTTTTCCAGGAGGTCTTAAGTATGGGCTTCTGAAATAGCATAAACAGGCATCAGTTTCATATAATCACCTGGCTGACTTGTATTGACCCTCCCCCCATTTTCTCCATTCCTAGTTTTTTGAATTCCTGGAGAAAGGCCTTAATTCTACTTTTTTTTTGTTGGGCAGGAATTCGCTCCTGGAACATTCATCTTCCCTCTTGTGATCTGAATCATCAACTGAGACTCTTTGTAAGTCAGCATCTTGCTCAGTTTTCTTCTGAGTTAAAAGGTAAGTTCCTTTTATTTATATTTCATTTTGTTTTGCTTTTCTGTTGGAGTTTCAGGTTGGTGAATGGAGGATGGAAATGAAATTGTTACAGATTTTTCTTTCTTCTCATGAGTTGCTTCTCCGTGTTTGAGCTGATTCCACCTTCAGTGTTCATGGTAGTAACACAAGGCATAAATGTTTGTTGCCAAAAAAAAAAGCAAACATGATTCTGGGATGCATTAACAGGAATGTTGTGAGCAAGACAGGAGAAGTCATTCTTCTGCTGTACTCTGCACTGATTAGACCTCAATTAGAGTATTGTGTCCAGTTCTGGGTGCCATATTTCAAGAAAGATGTGGAGAAATTGGAGAGGGTCCAGAGAAGAGCAACAAGAATGATTAAAGGTCTAGAGAACATGACCTATGAGAGGAGACTGAAAGAATTGGGCTTGTTTAGTTTAGAAAAGAGAAGACTGAGATGAGGACATGATAGCTGTTTTCAAGTATCTATGAGGGTGTGACAAGGAGGAGGGAGAAACTTTTCTCCTTGGCCTCTGACTATAGGACAAGAAACAATAGGCTTAAATTGCAGCAAGGGAGGTTTAGGTTGGACATTAGGAAAAACTTTCTGTCAGGGTGGTTAAACACTGGAATAAATTGCCTTGGGTTGGGTGGAAATATTTAGGAGCAGGTTAGACAGACACCTGTTGGGGATGATCTATTCTAGACAGTGCTTGGTTCTGCCGTGAGGCCAGGGGACTAGACTCAAAGACCTCTTGATGTATCCTTCTATGATACGTCACTGCAAAGAAATTTAATCAGGAGGTGCTGGTCTAATTATTGGTGAGGGTGGAGGGTTTGTAGGTGGACTAGAGACATGCTTTTAAACACAGTGCCCAGATAAATAAAGCATTTTTGTTTTTTCCTTCTTAAAGCACAATACAACAGTATTTCATACAAATTGCTTGTTCTCTGATCTCTTTATAGACGCAGTTGACAGAAACTTTGAATTCCCCACTCGTGAGAGTGTGATCATCTTGCTGTGGGGTGGAGGGCTGAGAAACTAATCAAATGTACACTTACCTGAATAGCAATTTGCATCTTACAGGAGTTAACTCCACTTTCTTAAACGGGAAGATGATGAGGAGGTACTTTAAAAAAAATGCCAATGGCACTTAATATAAACTGCCTTATTACCAGGCATGCAGATCTGGCCTCAACTCCCGAGCTAACTCACACTGTTAAATTCCTCAACATTTGCATTCATATTATGTATAGGTCAGACATATGGGCACAGATTGTCACTGTAAGCTGCACCTGCTAGAGGTTTTTGTATCACTCTACCTCAACTGGTCAGATTCCTCTTGGGAGGCATTCACGGGTTCTTGGAGGAAGGTCTTGTTTTCCTAATGGTCAGGATATTTAACTGGAAAGCAGAGAGTTCTACTTCTGGCTCTGTCATTTATTTACTATGTGAGCCTGTGGCTGTTTCCTTACCTATCCAGTGAGCATAGTGCTGGGGTGATGCATTCAACAAAGGATGAATATAGGCAAGCAACACGGGAATGCAGGGGCAAGATTAGAAAGGCAAAGGTACAAAATGAGATCAAACTAGCTACAGGCATAAAGGGAAACAAGAAGACCTTTTATAAATACATTAAAAGCAAGAGGAAGACCAAGGACAGGGTAGGCCCACTGCTTAGTGAGGAGGGAGAAGCAGTAACAGGGAACTTGGAAATGGCGGAGATGCTCAATGACTTCTTTGTTTCGGTCTTCACCGAGAAGTCTGGAGGTGTGCCTAACGTAGTGAATACAAGCAGAGAGAGGGTAAGTTTAGAAGATAGGATACACAAAGAACAAGTTAAAAATCACTTAGGAAAGTTAGATGTCAGCAAGTCACCAGGTCCTGATGAAATGCATCCCAGGATACTCAAGGAGCTGATAGAGGAGGTATCTGAGCCTTTAGCTATGATCTTTGAAAAATCATGGCAGACAGGGGAGATTCCAGAAGACTGGAAAAGGGCAAATATTGTGCCCATCTATAAAAAGGGGAATAAGAACAACCCAGGAAATTATAGACCGGTCAGTTTAACGTCTGTCCCAGGGAAGATAATGGAGCAGGTAATTAAGGAAATCATATGCAAACACTTGGAAGGTAATAAAGTGATAGGGAATAGCCAGCATGGGTTTGTGAAGAACAAGTCATGCCAAACTAATCTGATAGCTTTCTTTGATAAGATAACGAGCCTTGTGGATAAGGGAGAAGCGGTGGATGTCATATACCTAGACTTTAGTAAGGCATTTGATACGGTCTCGCATGATATTCTTATTGATAAACTAGGCAAATATAACTTAGATAGGGCCACGATAAGGTGGGTGCATAATTGGCTGGATAACCGTAGTCAGAGAGTTGTTGTTAACGGTTCTAAATCCTGCTGGAAAGGGATAACAAGTGGAGTTCCTCAAGGGTCTGTTTTGGGACCCGTACTGTTCAATATCTTCATCAATGATGTAGATATTGGGATAGAGAGTACTCTTATTAAGTTTGCAGATGATACCAAACTGGGTGGGGTTGCAACTTCTTTGGAGGATAGGGACATAATTCAAAATGACCTTAGCAAGTTAGAGAAATGGTCGGAGGTAAACAGGATGAGGTTTAATAAGGAGAAATGCAGAGTGCTCCACTTAGGAAGGAACAATCAGTTCCATACATACAAGATGGGAAGCGACTGTCTAGGAAGGAGCATGGCGGAAAGGGATCTAGGGGTCATAGTGGACCACAAGTTGAATATGAGTCAACAGTGTGATGCTGTTGCCAAAAAAGCAAATATGATTCTAGGTTGTATTAACAGGTGTGTTGTAAGCAAAACTCGTGAAGTCATTCTGCCGCTCTACTCTGCGCTAGTTAGGCCTCAGCTGGAGTACTGTGTCCAGTTCTGGGCGCCACATTTCAAGAAAGATGTGGAGAAATTGGAAAGGGTACAGAGAAGAGCGACAAGAATGATTAAAGGTCTAGAGAGCATGACCTATGAAGCCAGGCTTCATGAACTGGGCTTGTTTAGTTTGGAAAAACGAAGATTAAGGGGGGACATGATAGTGGTTTTCAAATATCTAAAAGGGTGTCACAAGGAGGAAGGAGAAAATTTGTTTCTCTTGGTTTCTGAGGACAGGACAAGGAGTAATGGGCTTAAAGTGCAGCAGGGGAGGTTTAGATTGGACATTAGGAAAAAATTCCTAACTGTCAGGGTGGTCAAATATTGGAATAAATTGCCAAGGGAGGTGGTGGAATCTCCCTCTCTGGAGATATTTAAGAACAGGTTAGATAGACATCTGTCAGGGATGGTGTAGACGGAGCTTGATCCTGCCTTGAGGGCGGGGGGCTGGACTCGATGACCTCTCAAGGTCCCTTTCAGTCCTATGATTCTATGATTCTATGATTTTTGTAAACCAGTGGAATATTTGTGGAGTCAAAGCTCTGTGTATTACTATGTATGGCAGAGCAGGGAATGTTTTTCTACCGAGGCCCATTGACCCAGAGAAGAAATCAATTGTGGGCTACACATAGCCCTGTGGGAAGGCGGAGTTGGGGGAAGGGGTTGCAGAGACTCAGTGCTGCCCCTACGCTCTGGGATGGGGCCAGAAATGAGGGGTTTGGGTTTGGGAGAGTGCTCTGGTTGGGATGGGGTGAGAGTGCGGCAGAGGGCTCTGAGGTGGAGCTGGGGATGAGGGGTTTGGGGTACAGGAAGGGGTTCTGGGCTGGGGCCAAGGGGTTTGGAGTGTAGGAGGTGGCTCTGTGCTGGGGTATGGGAGGAGGTTCAGGGTGTGGCAAGGGGCTGAGGGCTGAGAGAGTGAGTTGGAGGGTGTGGGCTCCAGCTGGGCAGCACTTACCTTCGGCAGTGCAGCAGGGCTAAGGCAGGCTTCCTGTTTGCCATGGCTCTGCACTGTTCCCGTATGTGGCCACTACATCCCACCCCAAGCAGTGATATAGCTCCCATCCACAGGTATCGCTCCTGCAGCTCCCATTGGCCATGATTTGCAGCCAAGTGGAGCCTTGTGTTGGGAGCAGGGGCAGCATTCAGAGCTTCCGTGATTGCCCCTTTGTCTAGGGGTTGTAGGGGCATGCTGGCTGCTTCAGGGAGATGTGCAGAGCTGACCAGACTTCTAAAGACTTCTTACCCTAGCTTCCCCCTATAGCGAGGCAAACCAGCACTCACAGCAATAGCCCCATTGAAGGGGGAAAGGGGGCAAGTCTCAGGGCTTCCAGCCCTCATCTACAAATCCAGCCTTATATCTACAAATATAAAAAACAGGAAAGGATACTTGCCTAGTCACATTAACGTTTCCTTGAATTTTATAATTATGGTGAGGAGCCATACCTGCTAGGGGACCATTTTACAGGCAGGATTTTTGATCCCACTTGTCAGAACAACTGTCATTTCTTGGAGTTGCTGTGATCTAGTGACTGGCATCTGGAAAGGACACAGTAAGGGAAGGAGCCTTAGCAGCTGCCCTGTGCAGCCTGCTGCTTTGGGAAGGAAGTCCCTCAACACCTCTCGTCTGCCAGGACCCCATCCAAGGAGGGCACAGACAGCCATCTCACTCTAACAGTTCCTGGCAGGGAGACTTTCCCTTCAGCTTTCACATGACTGTGATTCCACCATCCTCAGCTTTGCAAAAAGTTCATCGTAATCATCAGGGTAACTACTCCCTGGCAATGAGAAGCCACAGCTAAACAGCATCTTGTGAGCAACCTGACGCAGCCATTTGTGCTTGGGTGTGCACATGCCCCAAGCCAATACTGGAAGGCATCTTGACAGACCATGTAGTTCAGTGTGCTGCACTGAAGGTGGGCTAAGTATTATCTAGGGCAGTGCTGGGCAAGATGCGACCTGCCTAACAGATCTGGCCTGTGGATTGCATCTGGCTGCTTTTTATTTATATTCTGCTGCCTGTGTCACCGAATTTCCAGGAGGTGGCTCAGGCAGCTGGATCCTATTCAGATAGCTCCCAGTCATCACGCTA